ATAAGTTTCCCCAAGCAAAAATGTGTTTTTATGTATGCGCCAGAAATTGTAGTTCCTCATTGATAAAATGCAGTTCAAATGGACGTATTTCTGCCAAACGGAACCACGCGCATTATGACGCGAGCCCTGTTATGCATATATTCCTATGGGTCTCAGGACTCATGTCTTAATGCACATAGTTCCGTCTGGCAGAGATGCGTCCCAATGAATGTTCAAAACTTCTATGATTTTTGCGTAAGATCAGAGGAAGAATCGGTGGAAGTTCCAGTCAGAAATTCTCAAAATTCTCCTGGTGAGAATGCAATTTGCGGGGGAAATCTGGCAACACTGGGATGTAGTTACGTTCTTTTGTGGGAGAAACGACGAAATGGGACAAGATTAGATGGATTGCATTTTGCAAAAAGGAACCAAGAGGATTCCGATGTTGATAAGATTGTGCAACTCACAATCTTTGTAATAAAATCACTGGCATTATGCAAAAAGTTAAATTTCCAGAGGTAATTTCCGTCTTGAATTTATAGTTTCTTGGGGGTAAAGATAAATTTTAATTAGATGATCAGTCTATAGTTGCAAGGTTAAAAAGTTGCAAAATCTTAGCAACATTGGAATTCTTGTGGTTCCTTTTGGCAAAATGCAATCCAAATACTCTTGATTCAATCGGATTTTGGCTTAAATCGAGAGCCAAGCCTCTTAATTCGAGCGGATTCCCTTTTGATCCAAGCAAAAATCCGATTGAATTCAGAGTATCTTTTCGGAACTTTTTTTCCCACGAAGAGAATTTGCAGGTGTCTGAAAATTGATAAATTTTTTGTTTAAGTGGAAATCACTGAGTAAACTGGACACGAGGATTCTCTTGGTTCATGATTTGAACAATTATTTGAGAAGATACGACAAAATGGACTACATTTTGCAATTTGGAACTATAAATTCTGGCTCTTCTGGAGAAACACTTGTGTACATAGGGATACTAATGGCACATACGTTGTTTTTTAACCGGGCCGTTTATAATTCTGAATTGCAAAATTTAGTCCAAATGATCCTGATCCACTCAAGACGTCACTGGACGGTGCACTTTCTCACATTTACATCTATTTTTATACTATTTCCCAAATCAGAAAAAAAGTATGAAAAATACTGTGAAATCAGCTCTTTAAGCACTTTCAGATGAAGCAATAAAAAAATTGCATGCACATTCTTCATTGTCGTAAAACCAACTTAAGGTTTTAAATAATTTTCCCCCCTAGCTTGTCAAGTTCTTAAGATAATTATACCAGATTCCGCTGATTCTTGCAATTTTAGACTAGTGCACGAAAAAGCGAGGATCTTCGGGCGAAAAGAGTGTCATTAGAGGGAAAACAAGATGAAGCTGGTGAAAAAAGAATGAGCTGTAACGACAAAACTGGATGCGAAAGGTACACTAACTTAATGAGCGGAGACTCATTATTCAACGAGAGAAATCAAAGGAGAAGGGAACATCTCAGGGGTCATTAAAGTTACTTCCCCGACGCGCGTCTTCGGCGATGAATCGATCGATCTTACATTTAAACCTATGGAAAAATATCGATTATCAGGGTACACCTAAATAATTGATTCTTTACCGTAGCTTCAAATGGGAAAAATAACGAAAACTTGGCACTTTGTCTGCTTGTTAACTGACAGCCCCGCAATCATTCCGGTATTCTCGGTTTTTCACCTCTATGTACCGTGATAAAGAGAAAAATTCCTGGTTGGAACATTGACTCCCTTATGAATTTGCTAAGCTCCGGGGAAAGTTCCCACTCCCTGATAAATCCAGTTGTTTCCCAGCTATACTACCGGTACACAGTGGATTCACTGGGGGAAAAAAACACATTGTATCTAGAGTCCAGACTCTTGAAAACATTGACAAAAAAAAATACTCTTAATTCAATCAGATTTTTGCTTAAATCAAAAGTAAATCCGCTCAAATTAAGATGCTTGGTTCTTGATTTAAGCTAGATTCTGATTGAATCAAGAATACTTTTTCTTGTCGATGTTTTAAAAGAGTCTGGACTCTAGATCCAATGTATTTTTTTTTTTTTTCCAGTGTTGAATCAATCAGAGAGGTCGGACATGAAATTTTTGACTAAAACTGCAAATTTTGATTTTCATTTCGTCACAATTTCAATTCTGAGGGGTACTGCCAGGAGAAAATTTCATGAGGAAACCAATGGGACCACTTTCAGAACTTCAAAGCTTTGTATAAACGGAATTATACGGTTTTTACGCACTGGAAAAAAAACACATTGTATCTAGAGTCCAGACTCTTGAAAACATTGACAAGAAAAAATACTTTTGATTCAATCAGATTTTTGCCTAAATCAAAAGGAAATCCGCTTAAATTAAGGGGCTTCGTTCTTGATTTAAGTTAGATTCTGATTGAATCAAGAATACTTTTCCTTGTCGATGTTTTAAAGAGGGTGGACTCTAGATCCAATGTGTTTTTATTTCCAGTGCGTTTCCGAATTGTGTCCGACCTCTCGCATTGATTCGACTCACTGTGCGATATTATAGCTAGAAAAGCGAAGAAACTCCTGGTTCGAACACCGATTTCCTGCTGATTTTTTTAATTTCCCGGGGGAGATTCTCCGTTCTCAGCAGTGGCGTGGCGTGAATTGCGATATATCGATTGTTATGCCATTTAAATCTATGGTAAAGAGTCGATTATTAAGGTGTTCGCTGTGAACACCCTGTTTATCGATCCTTTTCCATAGGTTTAAATGGCATAAAAATCGATACATCGCAGTTCACGCCACGCCACTGGTTCTCAGCTGAATCCAGTTGTTTCTTGGTTTTTCCCTAACTCAAAACCATGCACGGAAAAAAAGTATTTGCTAAAATTGCAAAAAAAGGTTTGCAATTTTTGCAATTAGCTTTTTTCGCTAGAATGCCCACCCTCGTGGCGAGAATGACAATTTGGAAAAATAGTAATTCTTCCGTAATTTAAAACGTCACCAATTTTGGCAAAAAAAATCAACTTAATAAAGGCGTGGTTTTTTTTAGAAGAAAACTATCGCATTTGATACTGATATCGAAACTGCACTCGAATCCGATATTTTCCCTCTAAATAAACCACGCCTATATTCTATTTTACGTTGAATTTTTTTGTCAAAAATGGTGAGTGGATTCTTCAGTCTCGTGACAACAGAATTGCGATCTCAAAATTCGAGAAAAATGACGAGTAGCTGAAAAAATGGTACCTATGCGATATATCTCATGTCGTTTTGACACAAAATATGACGTCCATCGAATCACCGATCGCATCGATTCCTTTAAACTTTCTTCGATAAACGCGCGGTGTTTTCAGGCCTGGGCATTGTAAGAGAGAGGTAATACCCGGTTCGGACATCGATTCCCCAATAAATTTTCCGCTTTTTTGGAAAACTTCATCGTCCCCTGATAAATCCATGTTTTTCTCGCTATCGACACCACGAAAATGAAAAAAATCCCCGGTTTCACCACGTGACCCTCCCGAAAGCAAACCGATGTCTATAGTGTAAAACCACGTATCTCCCTTGCGGCGTTTGAGAACGTTCGCCTCTATTTAATTTTTTAGAAGAGAAACTAACTTCAAAGCTTGAACTTCTTACAGAATATTCTACTAACGGAGAGGCAAAATCAGAGATTTTTTGAGGACTTACTAGACTTACTTCGTCTAGTTTTTCAGGGAAACCATGACAGGAGGTCTGCAACGTTGCAAACGGAGTCACGTGATTTCGCACTCTCTAGCTTTTGAGAGGCTTTGAGGTTTCAATACATTAAAAATACCTAGATTTGGACCGAGCTCATCAGAAGGGAACCAACCCACATTAAGTTGATACTGAGAAAAAGAGGTTCGAAGTTTTATTCCTGCATAAGGCTCGATGTAGGAAATAGATTTTAATCCCGCTTTTCACAAACTAATTTCTGTTTTTCGACTTTTAATTTCTGGCAGGAGAAAATATACCTACGGCTAGTGGAACTCGAAAACATTCGTAACTCAATTTTTGCGAGAATATGGGTTGGTTCCTTTCTGATAAGCTCGGACCATACGGTCTCGTTACTTTTCAACATTTTTTAAAATTTCCTTCACGCACTTCTGCCGTGCTAATCAAGAACGCCGTAAATCCGTCAAGATTTTCCCGCGTTTTTTGGAACTTAACACATTATACAGTGGAAATCGGATATTAAGACATCGCTTATAACGACATATCGGGCATAACGACGTGCGATCTGGTCGTACCCGTGATTGACTTAGTGTATTTGTGCATCAGTTATAACGACAATCGGATACAACGACCAAATCAGGCCCTAGAGGATCGTTGTATCCGATTTCCACTGTAAAATAAAAACTATCTTACCCACGCACCTCAAATTTTCAGGTTAAATTCTTGACGGTATTTGCGAAAGAGTTCTGTAAAAAAATTTTCCCAAGGTATAGAAGTTCTTCTGCTATGACACATTGCCGCCAAAAATTTTAAAATGCAGTATGCCTGATTTTTCGTTACGCCCGATATGTCGTTATAAGCGATGTCTTGATATCCGATTTCCACTGTATAAAGTGTTAAGCTCCAAAAAACGCGGGAAAATCTTGATGAATTTACGGCGTTTTCGATTAGCACAGCAGAAATGCGCGAGGGGAATTTTAAAAAATGTTGAAAAGTAACGAGACTGAATGGATCGAGTTTATCACACTGGGGGAAAAAACACATTGGATCTAGAGTCCAGACTCTTCAAAACATGGACAAGAAAAAATACTCTTGATTCAATCGGATTTAAGCTTAAATCAAGAACCAAGCCTCTTAATTTGAGCGGATTTCCTCTTGATTTAAGCTTAAATCTGATTGAATCAAGAGTATTTTTTCTTGTTATTGTTTTCAAGAGTCTGGACTCTAGATCCAATGTGTATTTTTTTCCAGTGCAGATAGCAACCAACCCACATTTTCGTTTACGGCGTTCTCGCGTTGCACAGCGGACTTCGAGCATCGAAATGGAATCCTTACCTGGTTGGTGGCTGCGGAGGCAAATGCAAGAACTAAACCCAGGAGGAGGGAAGGTACAGCTGCGGCGTGCATCTTTAGGTTGAGTTTTGAGATCCTTGAGGAAAATCCACTTGTGAAAACGGGAAGATTTGGCGACGGAAAATGCACGCGAGTTGTCGTCGGCGAGCTGAGGACGGAGGCTGCAGGTACGATACACGCGAACACCAGGTGAACTCTGCCCGGCACGCGAGAAACCCGTCTGAGCAAGCACTCCCCCCGTTTCCCCGCCCCCCTAGACCGCCCCCCTCCGAACAAACCTCTGTCCGCCACCGCACGGTGGGTCCGGCGGACGCAAAGAGGAATACATACAGTCATGTAAGACAATACTGCCGTGCTAAGGAAGAACGTCGTATGGACATTTGACAGTTGCCAAATTTCCTTCGATAAAATGTTTAATTTTGAGAAAATTTGTGAATATTTTTCCTTGAAATTTGCAGGAACTTTAGGTGAAATAACGAGCAAAATTATCTGAAAAATTGGAGATAAAATATTCAAAAGTTCGCCAGGAAATTCGTGCTTTATCAAAGGAAATTTGGCAACGCTTGAAGGTTCATACGGCGTTTTTCCTTAGCACGGCAGCATAGAGAAAAAAAGGAGGTGTTTGCCTCTTGAGGTTTGTTTAACCTGTGACGTAGGTCGGTGCAACCTGGCCAGCGAAATCCGGAATTCGAAGTATGAAAAACGGACCATAGTATCTCATTTTTTTGCTTAAAACAACTCATGATATAATTTCAAGCACTTTTTATAGAATGACTTTTTTCCATGAATTTCACTATTTACAAGAAAATCGATGATGAAAGTCGCTGTGCCGACCTACGTCATCAAAAAAATTCCAAGATGTCCGAAATGCAAACACCTTTTTTTTCTCTATGGGTCCGGCGGACGCAAATGGAAATGCACACGGTCATGTATGACAATACTGCCGTGCTAAGGAAGAAAGCCGTATGAAATGCAAGAGCTGCCAAATTTCCTTCAGTGAAATGTTCATTTTTGAGGAGAGATAAGAATATTTTCTCTTGAAATGGTCAGATAATTTGGATCTTAGCACGAAGAAAATTATCCGAAAAATTGAACGGAAAATGGACAGCGTTTAACAGAAAGGAACCAAGCCACATCATTTATTGCCAAATTTAACTGGGCAATTAAATTTTTTACGAGGGAACGTCTGTGTGGATTTCTTTGACAATTTTAATGAATTTGCTACGTGCTATGGAGAAAATCCCCTGAAATTTGCACGAAAATCTGCACAACCATTCTCATGTAAAAAATTAAATTAAAAGCATGTACCCGTGCAACTTGTATCCGAAATTTTTCTTTTTTTCCATCGCGGATCAGATGAGAAATATGTGAAACTTTCAGTTCGAGGTGCTCAACATTCTCCTGGCAAAAATGGAATTTTCGGAGGGAAATCTGGCAACAGTGGAGAGAAGTTACAAGCTTTCGTGAAAGGAACGACGAATTATGAAACCCTGTACTGGACAACGGACGATTTCGCATACGTCGATTCAGTTGTAGTTACTTAAGTATTAAAAAAGTTATAAAAGTAAAACAGTAAAAAGTAAAAGTAAAAGTTTAAGTTGTAAAAAATTTAATTTTGACTCTAATTCTAATTTTTGGTATTTTCTTGGCTTTGTTTCCCCGCGAAATGGTGTGGACCCAGCACCATTTCTCCACCTTGTTACTTAAGCATATTTTACCGATTTTTATCCGCATCGTCCGTGAGGCTGCCGCACTGTGCGCCGGTCGGTTTGGTTGGCCGTCGGAGATAATCCCAAGATCCAGCCACCACAATCACTCACTCCAAGCTCGTGCGTAAGAACCTCGCAACTGCCTCGGAATCCGCGGGTAGATACGCGGTTCCTGCTCAACTCGGTGCAATGGCACTTGATACGAACCGAATGCACCCGATCCTTCATTTCCAGGTAGGAATTCCGGGCATTCAACCCTCCCCTACCTCCTTCCATCCATTCCATGTGTCACCGTTTGTCTAGGGGTGAAATCAGTGGCGTGGCGTGCTTTGCGATATATCGATTGCTCTGCGGTTTAAATGTAAGGGAAAGGATCGTTAAAGAGAGTGCTCACTATATTGTAGCATACCCTGGTAAAAATTGGCAGTAGAATCTGTGTTCCAAAATACCATAGACCTACAGCCGGCTGTAAGATTTCCAATAGCTTCTATAGCCGGCTACACAATTTCTTATAGCCTTTTATAGCCCATGGCGATTTAACAACAGCCAAGCGATAAAGTGTATGCTAAACGTATAGGACTAAGTGAGTTTTTGGACAACTGCTCTCTTTTTGGGCCGTAGTATCTTGATTTATTTTGCGAGGAAAGCTCCGTACTTTTGATGGATGCCTGCCTTTCCTAATATATTAGAGCGCCTTCAGTTTCGTATGATACTGTGTAATACCTCTGGTGTGAAATAGTTGCTTCCAGCGCCGTGGCAGGCGGGCAGCCAACGCAAAACGCGCGTTGGCGCCTACAAACCTAACAGGGATACTTCACGCGTTGCGCAATGCGTGAAGTATCCATGTTAGGTTTGTAGGCGCCAGTGCGTCGCCGCGCCGCTCCGCTTTGTGTTAGGCTCTAATATTTAATTTGGCGGAGTCAGCGTCATTCAACTCATGATTTTGAAATGTTTGCACATCCTGTATGGATTATTCTCATCTTAATTGCTGAAAAAAAAATGTATTGAAGGAAAATATAATGTGTGTTTTGTGAAAAGGTGGCTCCGTATCAAACTTAATGATTTCCAAAGCACACGAATTTCTACACAATTTCTTATAGCCTTTTATAATCGATGGCAAAAAAGCAACAGCCAGGCAATAAAGTGTAAAGCCCGGCGATAGGAACTATCGTCCGGCTGCATACTTTTTTATCGCTTCGTATAGCCCGGCCGTATGATTTTCTCCGCATTCTACAGCCAGCTATATGATTTTCTGTAGCCTTCTTTAGCCGGCTATGAGAATTCCTATGGTATTTTGAAACGCAGCTCTTATCGCCAATTTTTACCAAGGTACTGCATAATTGGATTGCATTTTGCAAAAAGGAATTAGAAGGAATTCAATGATGCTAAGATTGTGAATTTCCATCCTTTGCAATAAAATTACTGAAATCATGAAAGAATATGAAATTTACATGGTAATTTTTGTCTTAAATTTATAGGTTTTAGCGAGAAACTGTCAATGGATCATCAGGTTTTTCTTCCAAGACAAAAGAAGTTGCACAATCTTTGCAACATAGCAACGCTCCTCCAGACCCCCTCTCTCCCGTCCCCTCCAAATTTCGTTATTTTTTTACCCTAAAATCGGAACTGGTCACAGAATCGTGTTTCGACGCTTGATTTAGATTAGCTAAAAATAAAAACCTCTGTCCACACTGCAACGTTCTAAGTTCAATATTAACCGAGATATCGCCCTTTGCAAAGTCACACTGAAAAAAAATCCTCGGCATTTTAACCAAGGTCCGTTGGTACCTTTACCATCTCACTTTTTTTACCAATTATTGGTAATTTTACCAAGACAGACTGATAAGCTTACCTAAAAACCGGTATTTTTACTGTTTTTTTTTCAGGTAAGAATACCACTTTTATTGGTAATCAATTCCCGGTAACTTTGCCATTTTATCTCGGTAATTCTACCACAGTCGATAGAAAATATTGGCGTTTTTACCAAGGTCCAGTAAAATTACCGAGGAAGTTCAATAATTTTACCGAGATTTCTCGATAAAATTACCAATTCCATAAATGGTAATTTTACCAAGAAAAAACTGGGATCAAATAGAACCCTGAATTCTCGGTAATTTTACCCTTTTCTTAGTAAATAATAAATAGTATAATAAATTATAAATAAATAATAGTAATAGTAAATACACCAAGATTTTTTTTTCAGTGCAGGTTTTAACGTCATCCATCGCGGCAGTGACACCCTTGGTCTCTTCCTCTTTATAGTTTGATCAGTGATGCAGAGGGCGAAACGCGAAACTTTAACGACATTAAAAACAAACTGTAGTGAAGTGACTGACCGGACCGCCTAATCTCTTCGCGTCGAGTGCGTTACCTCGTAATAAGCTCCTCGAAGCGCGAATCCGTCTGTTCCTTAGGTTTGTTTACGTAAATGAGCGATATCTCGGTTGATATTGAACGTAGAAAGTTGCAGTTTGGACAGATGTTATTATTTTTAGCTAATGAACAAGAATGAAGCATCGAAACACGATTCTATGACCTGCGCAACTAGCCCATTGAAGGTTAATGCAGAAGGAATGTTAGGAATCATCCTTTCGACCAAACCCAAAAATTCATCGTGTGCTCAAATTCCGTCGTAAAATAAGCCGATTGTGAGTTAAAAAGCGACGTTGTCACATGGCGCATGGTGCTTTAATGTTCAGGCGAGTCCTCGAAATGAACGTAATGTTTGGGCGTTGATCATCAACCTGAGAAGTATGTATTTTTATTGTAAGGTGAAAAAATCTCCTATTATACTTTACCCTTTAAAAAGAAAAGTACAACTCGGATGTCTCCTTAGGAATAAAACTATGATGAAAATATGACTATATGATATGATATGGGACGTTTTGTGAATATTTTTGAAACAATGAAATAAATTCACAAAAAAGTGAAAAAATAGAAAAAAACCTGTCAGTTAGAGATTTTTTTGCAGATAAATCGTCAGAAGAAACAATAGTGCGTATTTCATTTCCATCGGCAAATACACTAAAAAATGATCGGTGCTCTTCACGAGGTCTCGGGTCTGGGTCCGACATCATGGGAGAATGCAATAGTGTATTTTCCTCGGAAAATACATTAAATAGAGAAAGACATAAGAGCAGAGACTTCTAATGTGGCAATTTAAGAAACGCATTTTTAATTCAGCAATTGGTATGTTGCGTTTTGACTCGGGCTTACACGGCACTTCGGCCTCGCATTATTTATCACGCCTGCAGTGATGCGACTATTCGCGATTATTGGATATAAGTGTTGCATGCAACGAAATTGAAGGCGTCCTGGTTTCCACGCGCTCAGGCTCAGCGGCATCACCGTCCAGGCAGAAACGATGTATTAGAAAGACTCCGCACTGTCTTCTTTACCTACCTATGGTGTAAAAGTTACTCAAGGAAGCCAATTCTCTGATTTACTTATTGGTGACTCATCGTGCTGGATCAACTAAAGATTCTATACAAGTTTTAAGTATGAATAAACTCTATTCTTGATCGGAATGATGAAGAGCAGGTCCTAAACGCTAATTGCAGAAATGCGTATCCCGTGATTAAATGTCATTTTTCAATCATACAAAGTTTGATCTGGCCATATGAGATCAAACTTAAGCTTGTCTGATAAGGAACTGTAAGCGTGAAACTCTTTTTTCAGTCTTTGAATGATTCAAATCCGGCAACAACAGGTTTAAAACACTGATTGCAAAAATGCGTATTTTGTGATAAAGTGTCAATTCTTAAGGCCAAAAACGCTAAACTCGGCATTTTTGCCGTATTATCTAACAGTCCGAGAAATTATTCAAAATGCTGATGGAGTATAGAAAAACATCTTATTCTTGCTATCCTCAAGAATTACTACCCTTTTACTAAAAATAAAGATGAATGTAGACAGTTTTTTTACTACCTTGGAAAATCGTGATCTCCAAGATACGCACTTCTGCACTTTCACCGTCGAATTGTCTTTTGTATTTACATGTGGACGGATCAACTTTGGGTCTTAATTGGACTGAGTTAAGCAGAAAGGAGCCAACCCACATTTTGGGAAAAATTGAGTTACGAGTGGTTTTGAACTCAACCACTGCTCTACTATCTATCGCCGAAAATTCAAAGTTTTTGTTGGAGCAAAATTTTGCAGAAATTGAACTTGAAGTTTATCTTTTACATTGAGTCTTATGCAGGAGCTAAACTTTAAACCTCTTTTTCTCGGTTCGATCCCGATGTGGCTTGGTTCCTTTCTGTTTAACTCCGTCCAATTGGCAAGTGAACCAGAACTCCTCTGCCGAAAAAACGCGTGGACGTAAACTACTAGAAAAAACAGGTGCACGGACAGAAAACTGGTGCCTACAAACCTAACAGGGATACTTCACGCATTGCGCAAAACGTGCGCTGGCGCCTACAAACCTAACAGGGATACTCACGCATTGCGCAATGCGTGAAGTATGCCTGTTAGGTTTGTAGGCGCCTATGCGCGTGCCACGCTGGTTGCCCGCCGCGCTGCGGAGTGCCACGGCGCTCCAAGCAACTATTTTGCGAGCTTTCCTCGCAAAATAAATCAAGATACTACGGCATAAAAAGAAAGCGGTACTCCAAAAAACTCACTAAGTCCTAGGATCCGTATTTAATGCCGTTTAGTATAACTTTTGAATTTCAATAGAAAAAAAAGTGACGCGATTTAATCAAGAATAAAATCGCTGAATGAAAGCGGGTTTCTGGTTGATGTAAGTGAATTTTCTTTTTACATAAGCACAATCTCTTCTTTAACCAAGCATTATTTTCTTTATTGATTCAATCTCTCCTCTCGAAAATCTCCTCTGCGGTAAATTTGAGCATATTTCTGTTTGAATCAAGTCACTTCCTCTTCTAGTAAAGTTAAAAAATCATGATAAACGTTATTGAATATGAAAATGAAGGAAAATCTTAGACTCTTACCTTTCTTAAATGGACCGCGTTTAGCAGAAATGAACCAAGCCACATCGAATGTTGCCGAATTTAACTGGCTATTTATTTTTTTACAAGAAAACGTTCGTGTAGATTCCTTTGGAAATTTTAAGAGATCTGCTTCGTATAGGCAAAAAATTCACTGAAATTTGCACAAATATACTCGCAATGCTTTTCCATGGCGCTTAGGTCCGTTTGACAGAACGCGCTATCCGGGATTCTAAATTCCTCAAAAGGAACTCAAATCGGCGCCTAGTTCCGTTTGATTGGAAATACGTCCAATTTTTAATCTCGGTTTCAATTATCGGATCGATCGGCTTTTCTTCCTTTTTCCCCCTCTACCCCCTCCCCCCACCGCGTTTACATGACTCCTTCTTCTTTATCGATGATTAGATTATCTTTTTGTTGCGCTCAGTACTCATTTAGTGATAATTAACAATGTGTGCCCTTACAGGGCACGGTTGTGTGGTAAGAAATTCAATATAAATCATAACCCATATTCTCTCTTCACATTTTTCATTTTCATCATGACTCCATTTAGAATTTTATTTCTTGCATTTCTCGTTTCTGAGGTAAGCGCAACTAATGACAAAAATTTAGTTTTTCACCCTTCGTTTCGGAAACAATGTGCGAGCCATATATTTCGTCATGCAGGTAGATGCTTTTACAGATGAGCGAGAGGCATGTATTGTTGTATTGCTTACATTTAGCAACAATCAGAACTATTGAATAACTATTCAACTTCATAATAATTACATTCATAATAATACTGTGGATATGACTTTATTCACACGGTTTTATAGCGTTACAATGCGTATGTACATATATATAGAACTCTGTTACCACGGAGACAATTCGATGGTGAAACTGCAAAAATGCGTATATCGGTTGCGGTGTTTGAAAATCTCCGCTCCTATTTTATTTTTTAAAAGGAAACCGAACCAACATCGTAGCTTGAAATTTTCACAGAATATTCTTCACATAGAGAAGAAAAATATCCGAAGTGCTCAATAAATGATGTTAAGTGGTTTTCCATATGAAAAATAAAGTATGACAGGAAGTCTGCAACGCCGCACACCGATATACGCATATCTGCAGTTTCACCATCGATATCTGGTTGAAGCTTAATTAGCTTTAACATCATGAGTTGTTTATTAAACAAGTAATCCAGTTCAATAATTGTTCTCTCCAGAGTAAAGTATATCAAAAGCGCAGTTCTTCTTTGAAATTTTAGTTCCTCCTCCAAAGTTTTTATTTTAACTTACATCAATGTGTGACCGCTGAAGGAAAAAGGGACTTTCGACTACATTGAGGTATTGATATCAGAACCGGTAGGTGTGTCCCATAGGCATTTAAAAATATTTTAAATCTGGCGAGAGGAGTGAAGTATCACACGAAACTGAAGGCGTTTTCGACTGGTGACAATGGTGACTCGACTTGGTCTGAGGCTTGAAGTTCAAAGACGTGGTTTCGAGGAGGATTGGTTTATGATTCCAACAAAGGCGTGGCGTGAATTGCGGTATATCGATTGTTATGCCATTTAAACCTATGGTAAAGAATCGATTATTAAGGTGTTCGCTGCGAACACCCTGTTTATCGATCCTTTTCCATAGGTTTAAATGGCATAACAATCGATACATCGCAAAACACGCCACGCCACTGGATTCCAATTCTTTATTATGCTCAGTGTACGAAGATTTGAAGTCATAAGAAAATGTATCTCCTCCTTTAATACCGCAGACTTGAATAAAACCACGAAATTTTCGGGAGTTTTTGAAGTGAAAGTAGGACATTTCTCTAACCGGTATAACACAGATCATAGTAAAATGCAAGGTTACAGCGAGACAGGAATTCCAGTTTTACAAAGTTGCAACTTTTCCCTTAATTTTAACGTCATAATCTCAATCACACCGTTTTAAATTTCAGTTTTAAAGTGATTAACGAGTTTTTCTGAATTCAGAACAATAATTTGTTTATTTTTGACTGAAACAAAATTATATTTTCTTCCGGCAGTAATGCGGATGCTGTAAAATTACCATTGACTTGTGAAATAAAGTTATAGGAATTTGCAAAGTTTTTAGCGTACCGCACATCCTAAAATTCACAGAGCTTCGTCTGCCATTGGACGGTCTCAAATCGTCGCCCTCCGTGCATAAGGGCGTAATTACACTCCAGATGGACCCTGCTGTCCATATAATTTAATGCTTTCACGGGCTCATCTGTATGTGTAGTTACGCGCCTTTGTCAGCCAAGGAACGAAATATTTATTAATCATTTTCTTCTTTTTTCAGACACATGGATTCCTATTACAACAGCCAGAATCAGACAGCTATGCGTTTAGGATCGATAGAGGACCTACTTCGGATTTAAATAAAACATATAATTTAAAACTGCAGGTGAAATAACTTCAAGATCTACGACAAATTTTGCGATTTCAAGTACATAATACGTACAACGTACGTACATAATATCTCTCGAATGAAACGCTGGAGTAGCTATACAAGGATACTGTCGTGGTAAGGAGGAACGCCGTAAGAGCATTCGAGAGTTGCCAAGTTTCCTCGGATAAAATGTTTATTTTTCAGGAAAATTATGAATATTTTGCCTTGAAATTTTCAGACACTTTAGATCAAATTACAAACAAAATTATCTGTGACATTGGCAGAAAAAATTTCCTGAAAATTAGTGATTTGCCAGAGGAAACTTGGCAACGCCTGAAGGCTCATACTGTGTTTTTCCTTAGCTCGGCAGAGTAGGGCCATGTCTGAATATGGAGTTCTTAGGGTCGGAAGGGCAGCCAACCTTCTAACACAAAAAATGTCACTGCAAGCCTTCAGATTCCAATATCACACCAAGATGGCGAAGAATATGCATAAACAAGCGTCCCATAGAGTACATAGAGTCGTAATGTAATTGGGAGAGCTGGCGCCACTTTTAAGCATTTTCCATGTCCCGAATTCCGAGACTCCTGTGTGACGCCGGGTCACTTTTTCGATACATAATCGATTGTTTGCGATACACGGGTACCCGGCCATCCGATGACAACAACAACAACAACAACAACAACAACAACAGAGGAGATAGGAATTACCACGTATTCCACCCCGCCATTTTGGATCGAAAATGTATCGAAAAAGCGACCCGAACTCGGCGCACACCGGGCTCGGAATTCGTCGAGCAGAACATGGCGCCAGCTCTCCCATTTACATTACGACTCTATGTACTCTATGAAGCGTCCTTCCACAATAATTAGTAAGTTTATGTTAAAAAAACATAAGTGCATAGACACGTAAAGACGGAGCATTTTATTCAGTTCATGAGATATGATAGATGCTCCGCAGCCCGTGACAAGATACATACAATCAAAACAATTTAAATAGCGGGTAATAAGGCTTTAGTTCACACACAAGACCAAAACGTTTCGGCGGAAAATTCAGCCATCCTCAGTTGGATGGATAAAATAAAAATGGTTCCGATGTTATCCAATTGAGGATGGCTGCATTTTCAGCCGAAACGTTTTGGTCTTGTGTGTGAACTTACCCGCTATTTAAATTGTTTTTTATTCATTCAGTTCCCGCCTTATATTTGAATTTCAAACTTGTACCCGTTTCGCCGCCAATCCTCTTGCCAATCGGAGAGTTTGTATGAATCTGCATCATTTTTTCTTCTAGCGTTCCGTCTTTGGGTCTTTGATAGGTACTCCATGAAACATCAGACAAGGTGCGAATTTAAGCTTTACACCGAAAAAAAATAGTTCTGTTCACAGGGCTCCTGCACTTCTTTTGTAACTGTCACAGAAGCTTCCATTATTAGGATAGAGTACTCTGTTCCTACGACCGAAGTTCTGTTCTCATAACAGAAAAATTCTGTAAGTGTAACAAAGAAACTGCAGGAGCCCTGTGAACAGAAGGTTCTATCGTCAGCAGCATCTATTTTTTTCTGTGTATGGCACATGTTTTCTAAAATTCTCTAAAAACTCTATTGTGATTGGTTCCAGAAAGAGGTCAAGTCCCTCTCGGCGTTCTGCTTCGGTAGGAGGAGCGACGCCTTCTGCACGTATCAATGCAGGAAAGTAGCCCAGATCTCCGCGCAGAGGATCTGCGAAGACTCCTGGTTCCTGTCCGAGGCGTACGAGGAACTGGAGCCCTGTGACCACTTCGGGGCGGGTTCCTGTCGCTGGTTCAGGTGTCGCTGCCATCCTCTCTCCGAGCCCAACGTATCGGAGGTCACGGAGGTCATGGAGGTCGCGGAGGTCGCGCTCGGTTTCTGCAAGAAAACACTCCTCGGGTACGGAGATGGTAAATTTCATGAAACTTTTGGAGAATTTTGGGGATGGGTCCAGAATAGAGTACCTGTAAGAGACCCTCCACTGGCCTCCTATCGACAGGTGGAAGCTTTTACTTTCGGGGTTTCAACAATTCCTTATGGACAATTGGACGTATTTCCAGGCCCGCCACAAGGGGGGGATACTGGGTCCTTGGTACCGGGGCCCGGGCCCTGGAGGGGCCCGTGACGCAGGTGACAAACCACTACGAATTCATTAGTAACCCTTGTCTCGTAAGGAAAAGTAAAAAAATTACCCTAAAAATTCCGCAAAAGGTGAATAAAGTTTCAAAAACACGCTAGGAAACTATACAATTTTTCTTACTTTTTTAGAGATTTCTATCTATTTCCAAGATTTTGAGTATATGTGGAATGATATTTTTAGTAACTGCGTTTCATTTTCTTCCGTTGTCGGATGCTAAGAGGCTCCTGTCTGGGCATCCTTGACTTCAATGGCTCAACTCCCTTGCCATAGACGTACGAAAAGGGAGTTCAAGGGGGCCCAGCTCCCCCTAGAATTGAAAAGGATCATTGCCCCCCTCAAAAAAAAAATTATAGATGTTTTGAATGCAACAATTCGAAAGTATTTGGCGCTGAAAGTAAAAAAAAGGAGTAATTATTCTACAGAAATTGATGGAAAATTTCCATCATAAGAGCTTCAAAATGCGTCCAAATAGACATGAAATTTCAAAAATTTCCCGGGGGACGTCCCCCGGACCCCCCTCTGTGCTAGGGGCCCGGGCCAGAAAATTGGTACCAGGGCCCGAGATGGGATGTGGCGGGCCTGCGTATTTCTACCAAACAGATATATGTGGAGGTGAGAAATATGGGGTGTGCTCGTTAGTTCTCTGGCCGTAAGAGTGAATGAGAATAATGAAGCGCCGGTGACGTCAGCGACATTGAGGCCGCTCTCCGTCGTCGCCCCCGTCCGCCCGCCTCCGCATAAACTCATGAGCCCTGTTCGAAACGCTCTCTTGCCATGCCCGCGGCTCATGAGTTCCGCATTCATTTGGCACATAGGTCTGTTTGGTAGAATGTAAAATCCCGCTTTGCCAATTCTTCAAAAGGAATCACGCCCACTTTTACATTGTTTCTTATCCAGCTTCGACGAGCACACCCCATATTTCTCACCTACACATAAGTCTGTTTGATAGAAATACGTCCAATTTTGGGGATGGGTCCAGAATAGAGTACCTGTATACTGCCGTGCTAAGGAAAAACTCCGTGTGAACCTTTAGGCGCTGCCAAATTTCCTACGGTAAATCACGAATTTTCGGAAAATTTGATAATATTTTTCTTCCAATTTTTCAGACAATTTTGTTCTCAGTTTAATCTAAAATATCAATGTAAAATATGCACGAGTTTCCTCAAAAATACATGTTTTATCCGGGGAAATTTGGCAACTCTCGAATGTTCATACGGCGTTTTCCCTTATCACGGCAGTATAGTAGAGCGCTCAAACGATTGAATGGCCCGCCAACTCATCAAAACATGGCCGACAATATTCTCAGAATTTTCTTTTTACTAGCTAATAATACCCTCTTAAGCGTTATTGAATATGAATTGCCGGATGAAATAAACAACATCCCCAAAATTGTCTTTGCTGGAAAGTTCATAGTTATTTTATTATTATGTCTGAAAGTCCGGATATCGAGTTCTATTTCATCGTGGCTTTCATTCCGATAAACAGAGTGCCATAACTCGCTGGACAGAGAATTGCAAATTTCAAATTTTGTGAAACGTTACTTTCCATCTCTGTTCAGGTATTTCAAACTCAACGAAAAGCTCGGAACGCTAGGGTTTCATAAGGATTGATCGATCGCCCCCCCCCCCCAAAAAAAAAGAAAAATTCGCGAGAAAATACCCTTGATGGACTCGGATATTTATTTTCCTGACGAATAAGGGAGATGAAGATGCACGAGAGATCGGAGGACGGAGAGGAGGAGAAAGCAGAATGAAAAGGAGAAGGAGAAGCGAAAAGGAGAAGAAGAAGAGTTAATTCTTTAATAGGTATAGGAGGTAAACAACAAATATTATTTTAAAACCATTGAGGTGAGAAGTTTTTGAGTGCAGATAAAATGCGGCCACTAGTATGTAAACATTTTGTGTTCCATGGTGATTGAAAGTTTCGGTTTGTCGAAGAGAAATTTCAATTTTTAGGATCAAACTTTCGATTTGGTTGAAAATATAGGAGAAAATTTAAAAGAAAATAAACGTTTTGATTACGAAAGATAAAATTTAATCCTACAATTTCCTGCTATGCACTCTCAGACAGAGCCTACATATCGACGGTGAAACTACCAAACCACGTATCTCGGTTTGCGACGTCGCAGACTTCCTGTCATACTTTATTTTTTAAATGAAAAACTACTCAACGTCCAGTCTTGAAAATTTCTGTGATTTTTCCTCTTTGCGCGGAGATAATTCCGTGAAAATTTCAAGGAATGATATTGATTTGGTCTTCTTCCAAAAAATAAAATGTGAGCGTAGATTTTTAAACACCGCAAACGAGATACGTGGTTTGGTAGTTTCACCGTCGATATGACATTGATTTTCCAAGTGTTTGGTGTGACCCTATGCTGAGAACCATAGCTTATTCTTAAAAAATTCGAAAAATCTTTGATGTTTACTGACCAGTTGTCAATTTTTACCAGGTTCAAGAAAAACATAAGCAGAGCTTCAAAAATCCTTACGAGCAAACCCGCGTTATCTTTAGACACGGCTATCTATTGGATAGAATACGTAATACGGCATAATGACGCCTATCACCTGAAACCCGTAGCAGTTTACATACCATGGTATCAGTTATTCTTAATGGATGTTCTTGTAATGTATCTCGTTACATTTTGCGTGGTCACTTGAATTTTTGTGAATCTATTCTCATTTTTATTTAGGAAACTTTTATTTGCATCTAAATCATCGAAAGAAAAAATAAACTGGAGTATTTAGCAAATCAGGGTCATTAATTGGCATATAACCTTTCGAAGTAATAGTGATGAGAAAAATTTAGAAGAAGCCGAATTTAAATCGATCAATTAGCTATTATGGCCGGTGATTAAACTGTCAACAAACACATAAAGGAATGTTTAGAGGTGAAAAATTAAAATGGTCAAAATTATCCTAAACCTAGACCAAATCATCACCAAAGAGAGGGCAAAATATCGGAAAAAGCGTTTATCGTGGTTTATGGACAACCTCCTAAACATCTTGTTCTCAGTAAAAAATAACTTTATTTTACCCCTCAGCGCAATATTCCACTTAATGACTTAATGCAGCAGATAAGAACCCACCGTTATAATGTATTCCAGAAATGACATAACTGACTGCTTTCCCATACAAATATAAGCTTTTATAAAAGGTCAACATGTTTGTTATTTGTTGAAATACACCTTATCGGCAGCGCAAAGCGGAGCATTGCAAGTTCACGCCTCGCGCCATCGCGCCATCGCGCCTTCAATTTTGAAGATGCAACACGGACATCCATCGAGTACGAATAGTTGTATCTCTGCGCCGTGCCGTCATCAACACGCGTCCTTTCCTTTGCTCTATTTCCATATTGTGTTTGTTTGCGTTTGTCGCTTTTTCTGGTGGTGCTTCAAGGGCTACGTGAGCGGCTAACTGCCCTGCTATGAACTTTAATGTATTCTTGTTTCTCTCGGTGTCACTCAGACGTTGTAATTTGTGCAAAAGCTAGAGCATTGGGCTGCGACTTATGAGATCCAGGTTCGATCCTGGTGACTCGCACATCTGATTTTAAACAACGAGGTTGCAAATTATCAATCCAAAGGTTTCGTCGAGGTAACCGAAAGATTTGATCAATGTAACCCAAAGATAAACTGACCCGTTTTGAGCAGAGAGGAACCAAGCCACATCAGCTATTGCCTTTAATTGCACAATTTAATTTCTTACATGAAAATGGTAGTGCGGATTTTTGTGCACATGTCAGTGAATTTTCCGCATAAAGTTGAGCAAATTCCTTAAAATATTTAAAGAAAGTGGCACAAACGTCCTCTTGGAAAAAAATGTAATTGCCTGGTTATATTTGGCAATAGCCGATGTGGCTTGGATCCTTTCTGCTAAACGCGGTCCAAGTAACAAAAGGACATTAATCGCGCGTTCAGTAACTTTTTGTTCTCCTCCCATTGAAGTATTGACTAGCTTAACGGCTGGTTTTCATCCTTTAACCTGGAATCGTTAATAATAGAAACAAGATTACTTATTTTAGGCAAATAGCGCATCACAATTTATAATTCCATGAGCCCGATCTTCCGGATCAAAATTCACCGGGGACCGCCGCACAGTGGATCGAGCCCATGAGAGAAGTCGGACGAAATTTGGAAACTTTAAAAGCTCAAACTCCGTTCATACACAACTTTGAGGTCCCAAAAGTGGTTCCACTGGTTTTCTTGTGAAATTTTCTATCAGACACAACCCCTTACACTATAAAATGTGACGAAATAAACACCGAAATTCTCAGTTTTAGTCAAAAATTTCATGTCCGACTTCTCTAATTGACTCGATCCACTGTGCGCCGCGCCGGGCCGATCCGGACGCGAACAAGATCCCGCCCCTTTCCATTGGCTCGTGACGTCAGCATTACTGCCGCGAAAACCAGAATAGTCGGAAACAATGCTTTTCTTACGGGAGAGAACAATTTTTTCTTAACGAGTCACTTAAATTAGTATTTAAATATAATTAAACTTTTTAGAAAATTAGAACTTTCCTAACTTTTCTCAGAAAAAAATATTTTATCGGGAGAAACGAGGGAACATTGGGATGCTCATACGGCGTCGAAACACAACATGGGCCTTTCAAGCCCCATTGTTCGATGCCGCGAATGTCCTAACGCGAGTTCGAATAATCGCGCCAAACACGGTGTGGTCAGCGTCAATCTCACATCAGCGCCTGCAAGGCTGCAGGAATACTTCATGCATTGCGCCAAACAGTGCGGTTGGCGTCAGACGCATATTAGCGCCTACAAGACTGCATGAATACTTCTCGCATTGCACCAAACGCAATGCTAGAGTTAATCGCGATAACTATTCGACTACGGGTATAGGCACATTACCGCTAGCTGGATTGAAAGCGTATCACGCTGTGAAGATGACTCGACACTCCACCGCGCTGTTTTCCCTGGCTTGCGCGTCATTTCTATTGATGGTCCCTGCCCGGTTTCTACCACAATTAAATGGTGAATCTGTATCTTAATTGCAACTATTCAGAAACTTACGCTATCTTTAAACGATGCAGCTATTCTGAAACTTGATATGCGTGAAATTAATATTGGTTTGATAAAAACAAACCCAGAACGAACGAAAATATCGCGTCGAAATTGTTTGTGATTTTATTTTAAATCATTCCGGAAAGAGCCTCCCAAAATTTCGCCCCTTTTTCGGTATTCGATTCGACCATCGAACCAAGGTTTAAGTGGAAGCTTATAATAACAGAAAACTCAGGAAAAAATTTCAAGATGACTATAGGAACCGTTTTCGAGTTACGGCGGGGCAAAGGGTTCAAACTCCGGTTTTATTTTTCGCTATTTTCTTGTTGAATTGATGTGTCTACGGGGTTGTCATCGTTATTTACACATGTTATACACACCGGTTCCTCCGTACTTTTACACTCAAAATCGAGTTTTAATGTTGACGAGTCGATATACCGATCTGTGATATCGATATTTTAAGATTCTTTACGGAAAATCGACGATTTTATGAGATTGAAATTGTTCATTTTTTATTCATGGATGACTAAATGCACCTAATATGACTGTAGTACACCGAAACCTACGTATTTTTTCTTGGAGAATCAATTTTTAACGTTAACGATTCGATATATCAATCGCGTATATCGAATTTTGCGATTTTTTAAGGAAAATCAATGATATATTGGTATTGAAATTGATTATTATTCTCCATCCGAGAACAACCAAATTTTGAGTTGGAACACATTTCCGGTCGGGTCGATTTACAGTTGAGTCAAGTTTTCGATTGGGGTACATATATCCGGTCGAGTAGAAATTAAGATTTTCGATTTCCGGTCAAGTGAAATTTCGGATGAATAACGAATCCCGTTGATTGTGTTTCCGGTCGGTCAGATTTCCGATCGAATCAAATTTTCAGTCGAGTCAAATTTTCGACAGGGACACGTTACCGGTTGGAAACAGTTTCCAGTTGGGTTAATTTTCGGTCACGTCATATACGGATGGTTTACGGTTCCAGTGAATAAGAATTTTGGGATGGGTCAGATCTCAGGTTGGATCGAATTTCCAGTTAGTTTAAGTTTTCAATTGGAGCACGTTTCCGGTCGAGCAGAGTTTATGGTTGTCGATTTCCGGTTAAGTAAAATTCGGCCGGACGATTGGTCGATTGATTTGAGTTTCCGGTGGGTAAGATCACCGGTTGAGTAAAGTTTTGGTCAGCAGGGTTAGATCAGGTTTTCGGTTGAGTAGGATTTGTGGTAAATTTGAGTTTCCAGTTAATATAGAGATTCATCAGTTTAGTGAATCAAGTGTCCCGTTTAATGGAACGATCCCAATTTTTTAATCGACGATTTGCGATGTCCAGGAATATCATCGATTTTTGAATCCAAGAATTCCGAGGGATGCACCAGAAACAAAAAAGAAACACACATGCTGATTAAAAGAGAGAAAAGCACATGTAAACTTAAAGATGGAAATACATATCTGTGAAATCTTTATCAGAGTATAAGTCGTAGGGGATCAGCAATCGCCGGCAATTTGCAAGCTCCGTACTTGTCAATTCGTCAAATTGTAATTACGATAACATCGATATAGTAAAGATTTCTTTACGCCTTCAAATCCAGCAATACTCTCCGCATTGCCAAGGGGTTAGTTTAGTTGCTTAACCGAACCTAACACAGATTATTGATGACATTTCACGAACTCGCGGGTATGCTAGCTGGCACCATGTATCCGAGAAGAAGGGGCTAACGTATGTTTGAATTTTGCCGGCGATTGCCAATGCCTACAACATATATACCTGAGAATGATTGTGAAGAAATTGATGAGAAAAAAAATACGGAATGAACAATCACAATCACTACCAGTGCAAATGTTAATTAAACAATACTAAAGCACGTTATCGATGAAAAAAGTCCAGAAAAGCAATTCTCGGAAAACACGATTTTCCAGGAGAGCAAAATAACTGTCTGAATTCCTCTTTAGAGGTTACCCTTTGGTAGAAGGGTAATAATTCTTGAGGACAGCAAGAATGAGATGTTTCTTAAAACTCCATCAGCGGTTTCAATACTTTCTCGAACTGTTCGAAAATACGGTTAAAATGCCGAGATTTGCAATTTTTGGCACTAAGAATCGACACTTCATCAGAAGATACGCATTTTTGCAATTAGTGTTTTAAACTTGTCGGTGGATTTGGATCATTTAAAGACTAAAAAAAGGGTTTCACACTTAAAATTCCTTATCAGATAAGATTTAGTTGGTCATTGATGCTCCATCCATCCATGCTTTACGCTTGCCTAATGGACCAGTGGACAAAGTATCTTATCTTCGAATTCGATTATTCACAGTTAATCAACGAAAGCTCATTTTATCCGTGCAAAACTTTTTAAATTCACAACCACTTTTGAGTAAGTTGCGATCTTGTGAACGGCGACTCTTTCAGTTTCGCTTCAGAATACGCTGACCGAACCAAGACATAAAATACACAATCTGATCGAGCCGCCTGCCCTCTCTTCTTCGAATTTAAAACGGAGAGACAAAAAAAAATGTTAATATTTTTTCAAATTATTATTCCTCGGCATTTTTCGAATTGGAGGCTCGATTTAAAACACGAAATTATGAACTCTTTGGTCAACATCGTTGTACAAGGCCACTCACAAGGGATATAGGAGAGCGCCTTCAAATCAATCCGTTAACTAAATATAAAATTCTGATACCACTATTCGTGCTTCGGGGCAGTCATTTTGCATACCCGGCCATTTGAAGGCGAATCATTGACCTCAGGATACGGCGTATGAATCACAGCAGAGTCATCCAAAAGGCCCAACAATCCGGGGGCCGCCCCCCTGAACCCTAAGGAACCAAATACGGGGGTCAGCCCCCTGAACACTACGGAGCCAAAGCCGGGGGCCAACCCCCTGAACGCTACGGAGCCAAAGCCGGGGGCCAGCCCCCTGAACACTAAGGAGCAAAAGGCGGGGGCCTACCCCCTGAACACTAAGGAGCCATAGCCGGAGGCCAGCCCCCTGAACACTACGGAGCAAAAGCCGGGGGCCAGCCCCCTGAACGCTACGGAGCAAAAGCCGGGGGCCAGCCCCCTGAACCCTACGGAACAAAAGCCGGGGGCCAGCCCCTGAATACTAAGGAGCCATAGCCGGGGGCCAGC